AGCATTGTTATTCATAAAAGTTAAAAAGTGGGAACAACTCAAATGTCCATCAACAGATGGTTATGAAAAATGTAGTAGATCCAGTCAATGGAATGTTATTTGGCAATAAAAAGGAATAAAGTATTGATACATGCTACAGCATGGATGAACCTTGAAAACATTACACTAGGTGCAAGAAGTTAGATGCAAAAGGCCACATATTGCAGAATCCATTTATATGAAATGTCCAGAATAGGAAAATCCACAGACACAGAAAGTAGATTAGTGGTTGTCGGAGGCTGGGGGGAAAGGGGAATAGGGATTGACTGCTAATGGGTATGAGTTTCTTTTTGGGTGACGTAAATGTTCTGGAATTAGTTTTGATTTCACAATCTTGTGAGTATACTAAAAACCACTGAACTGTACACTTTAAAAGTGTGTATTTTAAATTATGGGAATTATATAGCAATAAAAACTTCACGTAGTAAAGATGAAAATAAAAAGAGGAAATTCAGAGGAAAGGAAAAGCAGATGAACACAAGGTGAGGAAAGGAAGTGCAGTACAAACCATCAGGGCTGACTATTACCAGCGGTGGTGCCATGTGGTGCAGAGCGCTCCAGCAGCCAACACAAGCAGTCCTGTGATCTGTGCCAGGAGTAATAGCCTCCGCCAGGGCCTCTGCAGAAGCACAACTTCTGCTGGGGCTGACACTTGGGAGACATATTTCCTACGGTTCAGACATTTTTATCAGTTCAGAAAAATCTGGATGGGATATAAGGCTGACAATGATGTCCACCACATTTTCAGAACTTTTCCATGAGCTCCATTATTAGGCATTGTGCAGCACATTCTTTATCGTGTTCATTTCATTTATTAATTCACTAAGTGCTTGCTGAGCACTTGCCCATTTTCCTTTTTTGCAAAACACAGGAATTTAACTTATCGTTGATGAGTACAATTGAGGAATAAGGTCTATGTTTCTACTACACATTGTTGCTACTTAAAAGGAAATGTAAGTTAATGCTCCTACCCTTTTTAATAATTATTTTTAATAATTCCATTGTAATAATTTCTACTACTTCGAGTTGCACATTTTTGTACTTTGCTATTTACTGGTCAAGAAAACTTGAGCTTATTAAGATTCAGGAAGAAGACAGTATAAACGTGACTGAAACTTTAATGCAATATATTAACTTGAATGAGCCAAATATAATTATATTGTTAATTGTTAAATAGTAAGTGTAGTATTGAAATGAGGCTAAAAGGGATCAAGTATTCTTGCATGTTAAATGTTCCTGTAAAAAAAGAATGATGTTAGCTGTTAGGTGAATTTTTTTTTCCAAAAAATGCTTATTTGATTCTGAACACTCTGTTCATAAAATTTTTACTTAAAACTGCAAAAGAGCAAACATCTGAAATATCCATCAACAGCATAATGAAATCTTGGTTGATGGTAAGAGCAGAAGTCAACCAAGATAAACAAATGAGTTTTGTAATTTCGTATCAGAGGTCAAAAAATTAGCCCTATCAAATGAGGTGGGAGAGGAAATGCCATAGAGCAAAAGGAAAAGGTCATAATATTAGTTTAGGACTGAATAAAAGCCATCTACTAATGGCAGTTTCCCTTTATCTGACAGCAATTGTAGAAAGTATTAACAACTCTTTTTAAAATGGACAAAAACTATTTCCTGAGATAATAATAAAAAAATAGATTACAGTAAATGCTAAGTACTCCACAGCCTGTATTGCATCTCAGTCTTTTCCAAGTAAGCATCATGTTTTTTGAGTATCCTGTTAGACAAGTTTCAATGTAGGACAGGTCCTTGGAAACACAGCAATGTTAGAGTTGGAGGTGGGATTAGATGAGTAATTGCAATTACCTTTATACAGATAGTATTGCACTTGCAACGTGTAAAAATCTCTCTGAGGGTTGGTGTAGATAAGGGGTTGCAAACAGGTTTGCATTCTGTACAGACATTAGCTCAGGTGCTAATGTCTGCCCAAAACTCTATGTTGTTGAGAATGATCCTGATATGTGATCTTAAGATCTTAAAGGAGAGCCTTCTATGAATTCCAGATCTTGGTCGTGGACAAAGAACTCAAGTGTTACTCCTTTGCGATTCCTGATTCATTTGTTCCTTAAGAGGTTAGCTAGCATTAAGCTAGTGGGTGAAAAAACCCAGCAATTCAGTTCTCATATCTATAGTACATAGAAACAAAGCTCACTTGTTATAACTCTTCTCTCAAGTCAGATGGAAGATGAAACTTTTTCCACAAAGACATCTTAATTTGTCTCCATGAAATTGCAATAGATAATTCTACTGTGGTGAAATGTATATGGCAAACTCAAATCATTTAGGCCACAAAGTACACTACTTTTAATTAGCTAGCATTATATGAGTAATCAACTCTTTCCATTTTACTCTGGACATACTGAAAATAACATATTTATTTATTTGTTGCTTGCTATAATGTAAACTTTAAATAATGTTTTTTTCTTCACAAATAATTATTGGTTGGCATTTAAGGCAAAGCATCAAAGCCTAAGTTTATTACAGTGATGTTCTTGCTTAGTTCTGGATGCTAAATCATCGTGCATGATTGATTTTTGCTTACCTGCACCTTCTCCCATACCTAAGTAGTTTCTATGTGGGTGGCTCTTCAGTATAGGATTGAGTAAAATGAAACAAACAGTACCAGTGAGATAGAAAAAACATAAAAGCCTTTCCAGACTCACTCTGAATTACTGCTTGGTTTCCTTTCAATTTTTGGCATCAAATTTCCACTTAAGGTATATAGCTTCAATTAGGAGGGCAAAGCATTGCTGACGACAAACAAGAGAACTAAACACTGCTAATTTGCACATGTAATGATAAAATAAAAAGGGAAAGAAAATGATACTAGGGAGAGGTGGGGACTTGCTTCTTCTCAGAAAAAGAGGAAACACCCCTTTTCCTACTGTGATGAAAGTAGAGGGGAATATCCCAGACTGAAAGAAGAGAGGCTTTCTTGAGATGGCTCCTGCTGGGTTCCCCATAATTTTGCATATTTTGGGAACTGGAGTAGTACAGAACGTTTTAGGAAGCTTTCCACAGGGATTCGTGAAGTAGTGACCTCACTAGGGATGCAGACACAAAATCAACATCAGGGCCGGCCTATGGCTTAGTGGTTAAGTGCGTGCACTACTGGCGGCCAGGGTTCAGATCCTGGGCGCGCACCGAGGCACCACTTCTCTGGCCATGCTGAGGCCACGTCCCACATACAGCAACTAGAAGGATGTGCAGCTATGACATACAACTATCTACTGGGGCTTTGAGGGGAAGATAAATAAATAAAAATCTTTAAAAATCTTGAAAAAATCAACATCAATTAAACAACAAATTTTGATCAGAAGATTCAGTTTTCCAACTTAATGTTAAACAGATAAGTATCCTAGGCAGTCAAATTTGGATGTAATGTTACACAGTACTTAAAAACTCTTGGTTGAGCAGAAATAAAAGAATCAGATTTCCTAAGTATGGTGAGGAGGAAGCTCAGGAGAGAGGAAGGATCTTGGCAAAATAAAGTGTGAATGCATGACATGTTTATTCATATATATATTCCTGAAATAAATAGCAAATTGAGTATTGGGTTAGGGAGAACGTTACACTTCCTGTTTCCCTTTTTCTCACCAGCTAAGTAACCATGAGAGAGCCATTCTTTCCGCGTGAAATTAGCAGAGTAGTTTGATTCTCTGGATTTACTTCCAGTGGTTTTTTAAAATTTTTCTGACAAAATTAAGGTGCTTATTGATGGCATCCATAAACTCTTCAGAACATGGCCCAGAGTGCACAAGAATAGACTAGGAGGATCTTTTGAATTTAGAAGACTGAAGCAAATTCTCCATTGATTTAGGACTCTCCTTTCCCTCTCTCTTAAGAAACATAAAGTCATGTACTTTGCGCCAGGAACTGTTCTCAATTCTTAAGTATACACTATTAACTCATTTAATCCAATACAACGACCTTATAAGGGAGTTACTACCGTTCTCCCCATTTGATGGATGGGGAACTGAAGCACTAGGAGATTAAGTAAATTGCTCCAAGTCATACAGCTATTTAGTGGGGAGGTGGAATTCCAGCCCAGGTAGTCTGGTTCTAGAATCTGTACTTTTAACCAATATGCTTTGCTTCCTTTCTTTGCATTTATCCCTTTAAAATGAGGTTAACTGTGCAAAATAAGATGTAAACTAATGAGACGGCTGGAAAGGGTTAAAGCTGATGCACATCCGCGAGCTGAGAAAACAAAAACAAACTAGCAAGCCACTGTCTATTAAAGCCCCCGTGGGCAATTCAATGGGCCTCCTGTTTCTTTAAACTCTCGCTTTCGCTCCCGCTGACACTTTACAAAGCCAGCAGCGGCGGCGGGACCAGGCTGCCGCGCGCTAGCTTCCTCCACCCGCCTCGCGGGTCTGGGGTCCGAAGGGGCTTGGCGGGGTCAGTAACCGAACTGGCTCTGCTTTGCTTTCTTCACACCCCAACCACCGCCACACACGCCCTCCCGGGAATGGCGAACTGTAATTAACCCTTTAGCGCCTAGGAAGACCCCGCCGGCGGCGGGCGCCCGCCGGGGCCGGGCCGGGGCCAAGCCGCGATCCCCCGCAGTCGGGCGCGAAGGCGGCCTGGGGGCCACGTGGGTGCGGGGATGGCGCCCCGGCGGTGCAGAGGTGCCGCCCGGCGCTTCCCTCCTCGCTCGTCTTTCTCGCCGCCTCTCCCGGCCGCCGGCTGCCCGGGGCGGGCCGGGCTGGAGTTGCCCTCTCTCTCCCCCTCGCTTTGCTCTCCTGGTTTAATCTCTCGGCGACTCCTCTGCCAGCCCCGAGGAAAGTGCAGCCATTGGACAGGTCGGTGCTAGCTGCCAGTTTCGGGGAGGAAGGTGGGAGAAGCCTGGAGGAGCGAGGGGGAGGGAGGAGGGAGGAGGGAGGAGGGTGCAGCGGCAGATCTGGCAAATTGCGAGCTGCCTTCCCTCCCCAAAGTGTGGAGCAGGAGCGCGGGGGAGCGCGGCGGCGGCGGCGGCGCCTCCTCCGCCACCAAACTCCGGGGCTTGGCGGGGCTTGGGGCCACCTCCTCCTGAGCCAGGAGGAACCCTCTCCCAATAGGTTTCAGCCTGACTTTTTCTTCCCCATTTCTTTCTTCTTCCTCTTCCTATTTTTTTCTTTTTTTTTAAACATATTTTTCCTGGCCTCGGACCTCAGACTGCTGCAGCCCGAGCCTTCCCCAGGCTCAGCTCTTCGGGGCTGCTCATCCCTCCGGCTGCGAGAAAGGACGCGCGCCCTGCGTCGGGCGAAGAAAAGAAGAAAAACTTGTCGGAGGGGTTTCGCCAGCCCACAGTAACCCCCTTCTCGCAAACCCAAACCTCCCGCGAGGGCCATCCCAAGGCTGGGGAAAGTTCCTTCCTAGCCGACAGCCCTCTGGGATTTGGAGGAGGCAACCGCGCTGACTGTGGAATTAGATCTGTTTTGAACCCAGTGGAGCGCATCACGGGAGCTCGGAAGTCACCGTCTGCGGGCACCCGGGTGGCGCTGCCTGTGCGGAACCGAGAGTTTGCGAGCCTCGGCTGCAAGTGGCCTGTCCTCCCCGCAGTTGTTGTTCTGTGTCCGGGGTGAGGGCTGCAAGTGTTGTGGCAAGTTGAGAAGAGAGACCCGGAGGTCCGGAAAAGACTGCGCTCCCCCTTGTACTCCAGTCTTGCTCTTTCTGGCTCCCGGGTGTGAAATCCCAGCGAAATTTACAAAGGCCTCCTGGTCCAGCCGAGACCGGTCCGCAGCGTTTGGCCCCGTTGTCCCCATTCCCACCCGGAGCCCCGGAACACAGGGCGCCAGGGAAGGACTGGCGGGGAGGGGGAGGGAGGTCGCGGCGGCGGCATGGCGAGGTTCCCGAGGGCCGACCTGGCCGCTGCAGGAGTTGTGTTACTTTGCCACTTTTTATTGGACCAGTTTCAGTTCGCTGAAGGAGAGCCTGGAAACAAAATCAATGGTAAGATGCACTTTCGCTTGTTGATTTTGTGCGCAGCTGAAGACCTTTCTGGCACCCCCATTCTCAACCCATCCCCACCTCATCTGTCTGCCCTTGAGAAAGTTATTGCAATTGCTTTTTGGGTAAACTTGGGCTTTCCAAATGGGGAGAAGAGGTTTGGCTAGAGAAGGATGGTGGGGACTGGGGGTTTTCTTGAGGATTTCAGGCTTGCTTCACCTGGGCGGCAGGGCATGGTACTGTTTCCCCCAAGTCGCCCAGAGAGGGCTCTGTGTAAGAGCCAACCTCCTTCTGTGGATACCTCGCCCAGGAGCTGACATCCCTGGGCTGTCTCCTCTCCGGCTCCTCCTCCTTCCCTGCTGCCGGAATAAGCTAAGCGAGTGCGTGAAGGGGGCCGTGGGTGGGGGACGCGATGGCAGCGGGGGATTGCAGGGCTCCCCTGAGCTGGAGGAAATTCCCTGTGGCCACACCTTCCTCTCCCAGGCGATCTCCACCTTGCTCCCTCTCGCTATCTGGGGCTGAGCGGGCGCTGGAAGTGCGGCAGGGTAGGTGCGGCTGGGCGCAGAGGAGAGGAGGAGGTGGCGGAGGTGGAGCGGGCGCGCCGCTGGAGACCAACTCCTGGCCCTATTGTCCTTCGCCGGCCGGCTTCGCAGACAGGCCTGAACGTGCTGGGGGTTTCACCGAGTGCGGGGACATTGCCCCGCGCGGAGCTCGGGCCTCCGCATCTTCCCAAGGGCAGCGCCTCTCGCTCTGGCGGTTGCTCCAGCCAGGTGCGTGTCCAGCCAGGAGCCGCGCCCCCGGGGCAAGCGCGGAGCCCAGGATGCCGCCCTCGGCTCGAGGCCGGCTGGTTCCTCCGGGCGAGGCGCTGCTGAGCCAGAGATCCAGCTGCCTCCCGGGATCCTGCTCACTGGGAATCGGGTGCCTGCTCCCTATTTCTGCCGCTCAGGAACCAAGTGAAGAAACAAGCAGAGAGAGAGAGAGACCTTGGCAGAAATTTGTGACCTCGGGTAGACTTCAAGAGGAGGTGAAATGAGCAAAAAACATTTGGAGGGAAAAGAAAAAGGAAACAAAAACTTTCTGGTTAGGATAATCAAGGTTTCGTTTTGTTTTTTTTCATGGGGGGAGGGGATGGTAAGTGATTCCTCAGAAAGTATACAAGCATCCGCAGCTGTCAAACCGGAATGTCGCAGATGGAAGGCTAGGGAGGGCACCTGGGGCTTCCAGGTGAGGGGAGTCTTGAAGGAGTCCTTGCATGAAATTTTGCCAAGCTGAGACCTAGAAGACAGCCACAACGCTGTGTCTGCCCCTGGTGTAAATTCTTATAGAGAAGGCGCAGGGTCGGACTCTGTGCTCCACTTTATGATTGGAGGGATGTGTGTTTTGGGTGTCAGGGGCAACACGATGACAACACTTTTAAAGCTGTGAATAAAACGCAAATTTCCTGGATGTTGGTTTGTCTTTGTCACGTATAATTGTTCTGCATAAATGGACTTAGGTTGTTCTGGAGTAGGTATTATTTATATCAGTAGATCACACAATCTGTTTATTTCTCTGATACATTTCATTGGTTAAAAAAAAATAAGACTTTTACACGTCCGGGAGGCAAAACATTTATTTTAAAAGGCGCAGCAGTAATTTTCATGAGCATATTCGTGGAATAATAAATAAATGCTTAAAGAAAGCAATGTACTTCATCCCAAAGGAGGTTAGAGAGGTGTGTATGCCAAAATGCATCCCAAGTTGTTTATTTGAAAACTTCTTGGCACTGGAAGTAAACAAGGCATTTACAGTAAAAAATAAGTCAACAAATGTTTGTTTATTCTGAACTTTTTTATTAATAATATGTTACTGAGAAAAGACTATACTGAATATATAATAAATTTACTGTTCTAAGTTCTCAAATTGAGGATTAAATTCATTCCACTCTAAAACTGGCCAGATAGTTAAAAGCCTTTGCTTTGGGGAATATGAAATACCTAAATTGTTCAACATAAATGTACGGGTATTATAAGCCAATCCAATATTTCTGGTGGAAAACTACTCCAGAAACCCATATATTTATGGGATTGAGTAAAAAAAGAATAGTTTTAAATGTCTTGGGGAATTTTTTGGAGATTTATTACAAACTGAAGTAGCTTCTTTCCTGAATATCAGTCTACAAATAGTTTTATGAAATAATCTTGGAAGTAAATGGTTAGTTTATCGAATATATAAATGTAGCAATGAACTGGAAGAAAAAATATAGTTTCCTTTGTAAAATAGTCTAGTTAGAAGTTCAATATGGGAAATAAAAAAATATCCAACAGTCTTGAAATTTGGCATGTAGCAGTCACAATTTTTATTGCAGACATTTTGGCACAGAGGGAAAATCTGATTTCATAACAGGGACATTTTATTATGCATTACTTTAGAAATGCTGCAGTTGATTTTATTGCCACCAGAGGGCAGAGAAACTGCTCATTTCCTCTATACCCATTCCCAAATTTGCCAGATTAGTGATCCTCAATATATTGTTTTTCTATGTGCAATATTTTTTGACATTTCAACTTATCATTTGTAAATAAGTGGCAATTTACAATAATGAGAGTTTATTATATTTTCCATTTTCATTGGAATTAATTAAATATTCGTTCATCCAACATTTATACAGCACCTCCTACATGTAAAGACTTATACTTTGAATACATTCTTGTGGTGTAATAAGTACAGTGGAAAAAAGCAAACACCTTCTTTTGCATAATTGTTGGAGATTATTAACAAATTATTGGGAAATTCCCAAGAATATAGCTTTAAAATATCTCTTATGATTTAAAGTTTTTTATCATAAAATGAATTTATTTTTAGGGTTGAGTGTACTCTACACATATGTGAAAAGTATTTGCCTATACTAAATGGTATATCTCAACACCAATATTTGGAGAAAAATAAGCTTAGAGTAATTCTAAATTTTATAAATCTCATAACATCTCTGTATTGTTATACATTCATGCTTATATCCCAAACTGATTGAAATATATTTTAGTAACAATGTCACAGGAGAAAGAGGTATTAATGTCTTGAAGAATTCTGAAATTTAAATGAGAAGGGCTGGCCCCTTGGCTTAGCAGTTAAGTGCGAGCATTCCGATACTGGCGGCCCGGGTTCGGATGCTGGGCGCGGCCAGAGGCACCGATTCTCCAGCCATGCTGAGGCCGCGTCCCACATACAGCAACTAGAAGGATGTGCAACTATGACATACAACTATCTACTGGGGCTTTGGGGAAAAAAAGGAGGAGGATTGGCAATAGATGTTAGCTCAGAGCCGGTCTTCCTCAGCAAAAAGAGGAGGATTAGCATCGATGTTAGCTCAGGGCTGATCTTCCTCACCAAAAAAAAAAAAAAAAAAAGAGGAAAAAAAGGCCTAAAAATATGTAGTTAGATTTTGGCCTAATTGTTACTCTTAAATGTGACAATGCAACAAGAAAGTTTATTACCACTATATAGAGAACAAAAATGGCTTAGGACCCCAGGGAATTTTCACGTTTTGAACTGTCTAATATTACTGTGTCCTAGAGACAAGTAGTTTATTTTTAGCAGATCATTTACATTTGTTTTAGTTGTTTCTCTAGTTGGATATTTTTCTCTTCCGCTGTCGTTGGAGTTAGAAAACTTAGTTTGTTCTCATCACAAGGAGAAAATTTTTTTTCCTTTATTCTTTTCTTCTTTCTTTTCTTTTTACTGTATCTATATGAGAAGATGGATGTTAGCTGAACCTATTGTGGTAATCATTTCACAATATATGTAAATCAACCATCATGCTGTACACCTTAAACTTACACAGTGATGTATGTCAGTTATTTCTCAATAAAACTGGAAACAAAAAAAAAAGAGAGAAAATCTTTCTCTATGGAAAGGAAGACAGAAATTTTTTAAAAAATCAAACAGTAACAAAAACACTTAGTTTGAAATATTACTGATTTGTTGAGTTTGTTATGAGAGTCTCTCTGTTGAGATGTACTGTCACTAGTATACATTTTCTAACTGTTTACATATATACCTAGTGCAAAAGATTATAACAGTGGGTTAGGGGCCGGCCCGTGGCTTAGCGGTTAGGTGCGTGCGCTCCACTACTGGGGGCCCGGGGTCGGATCCCGGGCGCGCACAGACGCACCGCTTGTCTGGCCATGCTGAGGCAGGATCCCTACAGCAACTAGAAGGATGTGCAACTATGACATACAACTATCTACTGGGGCTTTGGGGAGAAAAAGGGAGAAAAAGGAGGAGGGTTGGCAATAGATGTTAGCTCAGGGCTGATCTTCCTCACACGCAAAAAAAACAAAAACAAACAACAAAAAAATAACAGTGAGTTAATTCAAGTGAATATTCTCTATAAAATGGACATGGGTGGGATTATTGGACAAATGACAGGTTAATTTTTATCAGCCAATGACTCATGACTGCATACAAAGATTTTTTTAAATATGAAATGTGAGAGTCTTTTTCCTTTAGAGAATAGATACAAATTGAAGCCTGAGGTTGGGTAAGTCTGGACTGAGGCATAGATATGATCTAGAACATTTATGTCAGAAATAAGGTTTTCAGTTCATGGATGTCTGCATAGAGATTTGGAATTATTATAATTAGGACAGTCTGTGCTTTTGTAAGTTTGATCTTTTGAAACAGGTTCTTATCTTGGAGAATGTGCTTTGGTAAAACTTCCTAATAGAAGATACTAAATTTACTCCAGACAAGTTTCTTCTCTGCAAGCATCAGATACTTTCATATAGAGATGTAGATAATATGGATTCTTTTCAATTAGTTTTGTCTCAGTTTTTTGCTTCCTAAAAGACATCTCCTATTGTAGAAATGGTATGTTTATAAGGATGAATGAAGTGATCAACAACGGGGATCGCGAGATCTAAAATAAAGTCTTGAGCCATTTCCTTACCACCTTAAATACAGTCTCTTCATCATGGCCTTCAAGACCATTACCATAAGGCCGAAACCTATTTTCCTATCTTTCT